ACGTCCCCTCGGCGGGTGTCAAGTGACAGAAAAAGGTGTCACGTTCGTACGCTTCCCGGCCCTCCAAGACTCGGATCCGCAAAAGTGGAGCAAGTTTATCGGGTGTCGCGTCAGCTCTGTAATCCGAGTCTGGCCTACCTAACCCAGTAACCAAACTGTACGGCGGAGACTTCCGAGCCAGACTGTAATTAAACCAGAGCCCGTTAATTGCGAAACGCGGGGAGGCCCGGACGCTCGTGCCAAGGAACCGCGAGGAAAAGAGATTCGCCACCGACGAACGGCAACGACCTCGAGCCGTTAGAGACTCCTTAATCGAGATGTAAGGAGAGGACGGAATCGACACCCGAGGAAGTCAAAGGCAGGACTTTCTCACGCTCGTGATGGAAACCGGTGTGTCGGGTCCGAGGAGGCGGAAGTCAATTTCGAGATTACTGCCCGTGCGTTCCGTTTATGTTAATACACCGCGTCACGAGTGGTCCCGTTACGCGTTCGCTTGACAATCCCGAGGAATTTCGTAGACCCGTTCGAGAGATCCTCGACGGAATTTCGATTTCGACCTCCCATAGCACAATTATTTTTCTCACTTCCAGGGAATTCTCTCGCCATTACCCAAGGGTGCATCGAGTGCCCTCGAAAGCTCGATGCACCTCCACCCTCTTGACGCCGAACTAGGAAGTGAGCATTATATATTTCTACTTTTCCCTCGTACATCTATAATATTCCCAAACATCGACACGGTATGTTGAAAGAAAAGAAATGGAAGGAATGAAAAAAAAAAAGATTACACTTGACCACGCAGGTTCGCGCGACTCGGACATGTATGTCGACATTCGAGTAACCGGGTGACCGAAATTCGACCATTTGTCGGCGCCGTGTCAGCAGCATGTCTCGAGTCAAATCGAGGAATTGCGGATCCCACGTTCGTTGGGACGACGACCTGGATCGACGATTTTACCGAAGGGGGAAGTTCTCGAACTCGGAAGGGGAGCAATGTCAGCTTGAACCAATCGATCTCCAAGAGGAAATGAGAACCGATTGTCCCGAGGTCGTCGCCTTCGCTGGAAGCCTTCGACGAGCGAAGTCGGTGATAACTTATCGATGGACCTCGATCGACCCCGGAAAACGGAGGAACCTCGACTTATCGACTCGTTGTTTACCGTGTTATTAAGAGGAAACGAGATTACAGGGATTACAAGAAATTACAAGGATCATCCGGGTTGAAGGCTGTAGTCGTTGCGTCTCGAAAAGGGCCTTTTGATTGGACGAAACAATTTTCGGACAGAGAAATGGGTACCGCTGAGCGGTAAATTTTAATCTAAAACTGTGTTTGGCCGAAACTGTCACGAGTTCCGTGATGTATCGTCATCGCGAGAGGTAGACTCTGTTGGAAACCGCGTCTCAAGGGACGGAGCGCCGATGAAGAAGAGGAGGCAGTCGCGAGCACTCCGAGTGCGCCTCTTCACCAAAGGCTCCGTTAACTTTTATGCACCTGCACGCGAACGGGCCTTTTACGGGCAAAGTGTCAGCGACCTCGACGTCCATTAACCTTTGTCTGTTCTTCGACTTCCGGCGCTCCGATCGACGACTCTTCGTCAGAAGCCCGTTCTTGGGCTGGGACCAAGCGAGCGTCCAAAATAACGCGCGTTACGACGGACGTTACATGTGTACGTATACATAAAAGCAATGTGTGACAACGACTTGTAATTACCAATTCTTTTTTTCACTATATTTTGTTAAACTTTTCCGGGGGAAATTATTTCGAGAAAATAGCGCACGAGCCGGTCGATCGATCGGCTCGATACGTCGACCGGGTGTCGGAAAAGGCGGCTCGATCGGGTATCGATCGGCGATTTGTCAGGGCCCCGAGTTGGCGGCCTTTCGATCTCGATCTTAACTTCTGGGCCCCCGGGACGATACATAAATTAGATATCCCCGGTGCCGGGCGGCCGATCGATCGATCGAGCTCTATCGGACCGATCGAACTTTCGATTGACCGAGCACAATGTAAGCATTGCCTAGTCTTTCGACGTACGGGTCATTCAAATTTCCTGACTTCGATTCGATTCACGGAAAGAGAAAAAAGAAAAGAAACATACACAACGTGCGGGGCCCACTTCGACTCACGAGGTCTTCTCGAATTTCCTTTACCTTTCAAATTTTCTATGAATTCGATTAAATTCGTTGCGAAAATGAGTAAAAACAAATTTTCATTGACAATGAAAATGAAATCTCCTTTTCATCGAATTCGAAAAAGAAAATAAATATACACAACGTGCGGGTCTCACCTCGACTTATGAAATCTTCTCAAATTTCCTTTACCTTCAAAATTTTCTATGAATTCGATTAAATTCGCTGCTAAAACGAGTAAAAACAAATTTTAATTGACAATGAAAACGAAATCTCCTTTTCATCGAACTCGTATATACCACCGAGAGACGTGGTTAAAAATGAGAAGTCCCGTTTCGCTCCGCCTCGGAGAGAAAGAGAGACCTCGTAGAGAGGATCCTCGCTCTCTTCGATATCGACGCGATCGAGAACGTTTCGAGATGCATTTCTAGGGCGCAATTTGTCAAGCCGCCCCGCCTCCGATTCCTCGCGCGTTCCTCGTGAACGGCGATTGAACCAATTGATCGGAATCCCTCGCTCATTCCTCGTGACCGATTGTCCATTGCTCGCAATCGGAGCGAATCTCGGTCTCGTCGAGGCCACGATCATCTGGCATCCCGCAGTAACATTTTGTCGCCGCCTCGCAACATCAAAACTAACGAGTACAATTTTTTTTTTCCCCATTCTACCGGGGAAGAAGTTGAATAGAAAAAGGGGGGAGAAGAAGAGCCAAGAGAAGGTAACGAGCCGGAAACCTTCGTTAGGGTGTGGGGCACAGGGGGTCGCAAACGCGGAAAAAAGGGAGGAAAGAGGGAAAAGGGGTCAAATGTCACGACTCGTGGTCCAAACGCGGCGGAAAGGGAGGAGGAATAACGCGGGCCGATGATCTCGTCAAACGAACCGCAGATAGTGTCCCAGAAAGAGAACCAGAGGGCTTCCTCTGGCAGCGAGCGAGGGCACTCGCGATTTTTCGAGTACATCATCGCATGCACTCTACCCTGCACTCGCTGTCGGATCCGAAAAAAGCTCTGCGTGAGGAAATTCAGTTCCATAAAAAATGGAAAAGCAAAATAATGAGACACGTCGCATTTAGAATTTTCGAGTGCATCGCCGTGTGCACTCTACCCTGCACTCGCTGTCGGGTCCGAAAAAAGCTCTGCGTGAGAAAATGCAGTTCCGTTGAAAATGAAAAAGCAAAACAATGAGACACGTCGCATTTAGAATTTTCGAGTGCATCGCCGTGTGCACTCTACCCTGCACTCGCTATCAGGTTTGAAAAAAGCTCTGCGTGAGAAAATGCAGTTCCATTGAAAATGAAAAAGCAAAATAATGAAACACGTCGCATTTAGAATTTTCGAGTGCATCGCCGTGTGCACACTATCCTGCACTCGCTGTCGGATCCGAAAAAAATTCTGCGTGAGAAAATGCAGTTTCATCGAAAATGAAAAAGAAAAACAATGAGACACGTCGCATTTCGAATTTTTGAGTGCATAGCCATGTGCACTCTTCCGTGCACTTTGCTGAACCAGAAAACCCTGCGTGTTGAAAGCGCGTCGATGGTGGGTAAATACGATTCCATTAGGGGGGAAAAAAACAAAAAACAAAAAAACGGAAAAAGTGCATCGCACTCGGAACCTGCGAGCGTATCGCGATTTTCCGAGAGCACTCGATTTTAGAGAATGCATCGCCGTGCACTTTTCCGCACTCGCTGCCGGGTCAGAAAGAGTGCATCGAAATCGGGTCGCTTGCGAGCAAATGCGGTTCCATTAAAAAAAAAAGGGGGGGAAAAGAAATGAAAGGGGGTACGTCGCGTCGGCCTCGCGACCGGAAGTCGCGTTCGACCTCTTTTGCATCGTCGAGTGCGTACGACGCACGACAAACGCGGTCACAGTCATTGTCACAGTCACTGTCGTCATCGCGCGGGTCGCGGGCGGTAATTCGCGAGTAATCCCGGCATGACGGCGAACACGGAACGACAATAACTGGGCACAATTTCAGGGGAGAATGCCGGTCGTTATCGAAGATTGGAATCGGTGGCCGGAGAGACCCGACACGGAAGACTTCCGGCGGCGAGTCGAGGCGACGTCTCGACCGGAGGAAATAATCGCCGGGGCCCGAAAGAAAAAGTGGAGAGAAATATTCCCCCGACACGAAATGCCGAACCGAAGGGGTCAATTAAATCCAATCCGAGCGATCACGAAACCCAGCCGCGAAATCAGCGAGAGTGCCTCGACGGCCAAGAGTCGCCTCGAATTTAAGTAATCCCGATTACGCGACAGAAGTAAAAGTCCGGAGAAAGTACCTCCATCTCTCGACTCCTTTTTCGTGGGTGCGAGCGGAGGTCACGGAGAGAGGAGGGCAAAAAGAAGGAAAAGAAAACGAAATCCCCGGCATTTCGAGGCCTTTCGCGGATATTAAAGAAATTCGAGAGTTCCATCCTTTGAACGAAACGGAGCGGTGAGAAATGTTAAAATAATCTGAAATACATCGTTCGATCATGTACGAAGTGTCGGGTGCGAACATACGCTGTCGAAAAAAAGAAAAAAAATAGTTGACTGAAAGAAATAAATACATATATTGTTGACACATGTCCCTCGAATTAAGTATAATCGCAAGAAAGTATATCATTTTCTTTACTCGATCCATTTCTTTGGGCACATTCGATCGCAGGATTTTGTAATCGGATATTTCTTTGAGTCAACGTTTTTCTCGGGGTAGCTCTCAGCGTCCGCGTATGACGGATTTCGGTTAAAAATGTATTTGGCTCGAAACTCTCCCGGTTCTTTGATTTTACGTTACGGTGACGCTCGCTCGCTGACAATGAGTCGGTACCCATTGTTTTTACGAATGGGAAGACCATTCTATGTAAAAAGTTTCTAGATGAATGGACTCACCATCTTCAGGGTCTCCTCCGGCCTTAGGAGGTAGAACATGGACTGCAGATGCTGCTGGATGTCGCATCCCGCGGCGGAGACTCTCCTCGAAGGGCGGGCCCTCTCGTTCGGCGGAAGTACCAGGGCGGCGCCCTTTCCGGCGAAGTAGCATTCGCTCAGGCTGAAATTAAGGACGAGGCGGACGTTAATATACCCGGGATTAAGGAGATTCGTCAAATCTTTGGAATTCGTTAAAGGAAACAAGTGGTCAAATGGGTTTCGAGTCGGAGGTGGTGACGACCACCGGGGCGAACAGGATCGGCTTTCACCGCCGTTTACGGCGGATTTTCAACACTCGAGCACCACAAGTTCAAGGAGAGCCTGGGACACCGGAAACACCTGACCACGTGTCGAGTCTTTCTCCGGCTCGAGATCGATTATCCCGAGGCTCGAAGGGCGACGCCATTGTGGGGACGCCTTCATGGCCGGTCGTCCCATTTCTCGTCTCAAAGACCCCATCAGCTCCAAAAATACGCCCTCGACTGTTCCACGAGGATATAACACAGTCATGCTTCCGCGAATTGTCTTTTTTACGCGAAACTTCATAAACCTCGGTACACATAAGCTCGCGTGTTACGGAACTGACCCGCTCGAGAAAGTGAAACCCTTTCTTTTTCCGCAATTATTGGGTTGATGCATAAGTCATTGCGTATTTTTTCAAATATAAATATGCGCGCAGAAATTAAATGTTTTAACATAGGGTTATATGTTATTTTAAAGAGATATTTTTGCCCCACAAGACAGTCTTTTAATATTTTTCTTAGATTTAATTTTTCTGAATTTTCAGGCAATTAAACTGGAGGGTCAAGTGGAGAAAAATGAGCATTTTCGACACTTTCTTTTGATCGAGTTTAATTGCGGCTCAAATGCTTCCAAAACGGCTCAATAATTATTTCATCGGGTGAATGGATTTTTTTACTCAGTGTAACGATTGATGATATCGAAAAAAAAAAACTAACATGGAAGTTTCGCTTCCACTGCGGGTTTTTTATTTTTTAATAACATTTCTTTTTAATCCTTAGGGCTCTTCGGAGTATCCGCTGCGGCGCGGGAGGAGCCAGCGGTAAATCGCAGAGCGCGCGCACTCGAAGCGCCCATTGCGGCAATTTTCCTCGGTGCAACTCGTCGAGGTCGGCGAGCAAATTACGTGCTTGCACGTTTAAGACCCGTCCCCCCGAGATTTATTCATCGATCTGGCCGGCTCGCCCGTTCGTCATCACCTCACGGCGACCGATCGTCTCTTCCTCTCTCCCTCTCCGCGCGACGGCGTCCGTCGGTCGCATCTTCGCTCGTAAATAAAGGCGCGATTACGCGCCCTAATGGCGGCGGTTCCGCGGCCGAAGGAGACGCTCGCGAGTGTTCGTTAACGGCGAATAGGTGGCGCCCCTCCGCGAGGTTTCGCGCATCGCGAGAGAGGTACCTAACAAGTAAGATGGCCGCGACTTCGTCAGCGCTATTTCTGGCGCGACTCGAGAAATTTCGAGCTGACGGGATAGCAGACGCTCGGCGCGTCCTACGTATCGCGGAAACCGCCGAAAGACTGCGACTAACCGAGCGGAAAGACGGAAAGCGGAATTTCTTCGTAATATTTTGATGAGCGTTAAATTTGTAGTCGGGACAGCATCTGTTAAAAGCGGGGCCGGCAGTAGGTAAGAAAAAAAAAAAGAAAAAAAAAAGAGGATATCTTTATATTTGCGGTGCGAGATTTTGTAAGTAGGAGGTTAGATTCAGACCCACGTGGAGTCGGCCGCGGCGCTTTTCCCCTGGAGCGGCCGAGCGCTTCGCGCGCCCCTATTGGTCAGCGCGCCCGGCCCAGGAGAAACAGGAGCGCGCCGAGGCCCCGGAAAACCAGGCCTGAGAGAAGACTCGAAACGCGTCGCTCGACCGGCGCCCGCGCGTACGCACTCTCGACTGAGGCTAAAAAGCGAATCAGTTCGGCTAGCTCGCTCGAGAGAGCCCAAACGAGCAAGAACGCAAAGGGGCGACCGCAGTGGACGGGAAAAACACTCGCGAAAGTGGACGGGAGCGACAGAAAACCCGAGAAGAAGGGACGAGGGAAAGCTGGCACATTGTCTCGGAAAAAGGCGATTCTTTAAATTGCCCCCCAACAAGGTCCAACTGCGATCGATTGAACTTTCGCTTTCCCTTAACTGAGGCTCCTTCTCTCCTTCCTCGAATCTCCAAATTTTACCCGTCGACGCGGTCGCAGCGACGCGAACCCGACGTTGTCGCCGCAGGGTCCTCCGCCACTAGCTCCTCCGTTATGAAATTCCCAAAACCTGTCACTATAGGCCTTGTAATTACAAAATCTGGTTACTAACGAAAACCACTCCGCGAAACGCTCTCTTCCCGACCTCTGCGGAATCCACTGGGAAAACTCGGGGATGAGAGAATCGAGGATACGAGTTAACGCGCGAACGCCCTCGCGACACTTTCCGTGGCGAAAGTCGACTGGCAACTAAACTTCGTCCGGGATTTCGAGTGCGGGAAAATCGAGTCGCGTGGGTGATATCTTGAGACGAGCGGCCGCGATTCGCGTGTACGCGGAAACGCGCGCGTGCACTCCGGGCCACGCGCGTCCGCCGCGTATTATTAGCGCGCTCGGAAGTTCCGCGAAGCGCCGAGAGTGCATTTCGCGAAAAGAGACCACGTCGCCTAGCGCAGAAGGTTCCCCTTCGCGGAGGAACCTCCTCTATTGCATCCCGTGCCAAAGGCGTGCGCGATTCGCGATTTCGGAACTGTCGGATCTCGGCAAAGCTTCTCCTCGAAGACCGGAGAGTGACAAGAGCTGTCGTTGCGTTTTCCGATCCCGATTTGTAACGCTCCGAGGAAAGACTTCACCAAAGACCACGTGGTAAGTGACAACTCAAGTCGCGTGCGATAACAACGAAAAATAAAAGGCAACAGAAAATTCGGGTATTTTCTAAGTTTTTCTCCCTCGACGAAAAAAGAGGGCAGAAAATACTTAGCATTTTTTTCGTGCATCTTTCCTCCTAGTCGGGAAAAAGTTCCTTAAAACATAAAAAAATTAATAAAAAGGAAAGAGCACTTCGAGGAACGGCATCGCCGGCATCCACGTGGTCAGCGAGTACTCGTGATAAAAAATACCGCATTTCCTCGAAAATTCGTCTCCCTCGATGCGATTTCGGTAAAGGTCTCATCTTATCTCCCCAAGGCTCCTTTATCTCGGAGATAATGCGTTTTCTTCAGGGGAGTGTACCAGCGATTGCATCGATTCTCTGTCGGCAGTGACGTCACCGATCCCCGTGACGTTATCAGAGACGGCGATAGCCTCGTCCCACCTTCGGCGGTGGGCCTCGCGCGTGCTGCCGCAACGACGAAACGATGACATAACCTCGTTGCAACGAGACTCCCCGCTCGCCCAATTATCCGGCGCACGTATCGATAATTCGAGCTCACCTGGGGGAGGGGGGGAGAGAGAGAGAGAGAGAGAGAGAGAGAGAGAGAGAGAGAGAGAGAGAGAGAGAGNGAGAGTTGCCCGGGCGGCGACACGAGTACGTATAAAAAATATTATTAAAACATAAATATCAATGAATTTTCATTCTCTATAACTTTTCATTCACCTTGAATGAATTTCAGTTGAATATCTTTCGATATCTCGACCTCATCTAAAAATATTCACGATGGCTCTTCTCAGTCCATCCGGCGTAACTCGGCAGTTGCGGGGTAAAGGACGTGGGTTATGTCAGTCCGTGGGCCGGAGCGAGGACTCCCGCTGCGGAATGGCGAATGACTCGACTCGGTCGAGTTGTATGGCCGATTATTAGCGGCGCTCCGGTACGAGATCCGACAAGTACTCGCATATGCAGTGCGACCACAAAGGCAGTGGAGTCGCGTGCGCCTTTGAGACAGATACGAGCGGAGGAGAGAAACGGCGAAGAGTCGCTCTCTAAAGCCGGTCCCGAAACGACGACGGGCCGAGATCCGGTCAATTTCCGCAGGAGCCGGCCCAAAGGGGATCCCGGTTGGCAACGACGTTAACCGGGTCGTTAAAGCCGCGACGATGGCCAGCCTAAAGATAGAGGGCCCGAAGCGTGGCGGACCGGCCCGAATCTCGGAAGGTGTTCGCCCTGCCCGAAATACAGCGACCCCAAAATTAACCAAGGTGACCCGGGGGTCCCTAGGTTCACCAAAAGATCCCGGATAATCCCTTCCCACGGAACGCCCAGCATTTGGGATTTCACGCGCCTCGAAAATGTAAAAAAAAAAAAATCCCAAAAACCTCGAGAAAACCACGAAAATCAACGCGCGGTTCGCCGCGCCCCAGGCGGCAAACTAGGCTGCGCGCGCAGCCCCCGCCAATGTAGGCAAAACGCGACTCGCGCGTTCGGTCGCGATTTCCGATCGAACGCAAAACGCGACTGAGTTGCACGACTGAAAGCGCACCGAGTGCTTCTGCACCGTTAAATGAGCCCGAGGGGTTACCTCACCGCGAATGCCGAGCGGATTCCGAGGGGGCCATAATAAACATCGAGAATTATTCCTTGGCAGAAATCGACGGGTTTTGCAACCGTGGTTCGCTTGGCCCCGGCCGCGGTCCAAATCTCGCGGCCCGGATTCTTTTCTCTTTCTTTTTTAGCCGCGTTCCAAATCTCCGGGTTCCACCTGAGGTCGTAAAACCGGGACATTTACCATAAGTGGAGACCACAGTGAGGGAGGGGGAAAAAAAAAAGAGGCATTACGAAGTAGCACGCGTCGAGTAGCAAGGGTCGAGTGAGTTCCTACTGAACGAGTCACGTACGACCACGTGGGTCGCGGGAGTTTGGGAGAACGAGATTAGGTGTTGCGCGGCACACGTCGCGCGGCCGACTGACCGGCGTCGCGAGTCCGCGCGCGATTTGAGTGGCGCCACGTGGGTCGGTCACATGACCGGGTCACGTGGGAGGATCACGTGGGTTCGAAATGACAGCCGTCGCAAGGGAGTCCTCGCCTGTCGTACCAAGGATTGTCTCCCCGTTTCGAAGGACAATCTTAAGATACCGTAGGTATGGGGGTATCTTATCGCAGATGAGACCTTCGCACCCTCGCGGGTCTGGACCCTGATATGGTGCCGGCGATAGGAAAACGACAACGGACAAAAATGGACGAGGAAAGCGGAGC